TTGACCCTGGTGCCTGTGGGAGTAGGATGCCACCAAATCCCACCACCCCAAACCCAACCACAGACAACTTTTCCAATTGACTTGTCTGGGTGTTTGAACAGTGTTTTGCAAGCTTCTATCCTGTTAATCGTGACATAACTTGAGATTGTTCTTGCCCTTGGAGTTCATGTTTTCATGATGGGAAAGTGGCATGTTTTCTACTGGAGGAGACTTCTGTGAGTTCCTGTCTTCTCTCCTGTGCTGTGCTGCACAGGTGATATGTTTTCATGCAGTAGCTTTCTTAGGTAGCAAAGTAGGTTTGTCTTGCTTGGCTCTTTTCTGGCTTTTTTCCTCCCTTCCAAAGATGGTGATCTCTGCCCAGAAAAATGATAATTTTTATTAAAATTGGAGCAGAAAACAGAGTTGCCATGTTTAACACTCTGTAATTGTAACATGCTGTAATTGGATGCTGGATGCATTATACATGTAAAGAAAACATGAGAAACCTTACCTCTGTGATAATCAGTCTTGCATTAATGTGTGTAATGTGCAGGGCTGGGGAACAGAACTAGTATGTACCCTAGAAGCCCTAGCCTGCAGAATTTTTGCCATGTTACTGGGGAAACTCAGAGTGATTCTTCCTTTTTCGGGCTTTGTGTAACAGATTGGGAGACTTTTCCCTTGCCACCTCTTCATGAAGATGAACAGGGCTTGAAACTCATGCTGGTTTTGTCCTCATTTTTATTGCATGCAGTTGACACATACCAAATATAGGGAAAGGGAAAATGAGGTGAGCATGAAATGAGATGTGTTTTAACAGGGTGCTTGCTATTGACACAGAAATATGGGGAAAAGGAAAATGAGCCAGAAACCTGATACGTGAAAAATGGTGCAACATGTAACCCAGTGTTTCTCTTCAGAAACGCTTTTCTTTCCTGGTGATAGTGTTGCTGTGGATAGAGGTTATGAAAGGTTTTTTTATACCTATCAGAGCTCTCTTCCTGCCCCATATCCCCACTATACTTTCATGGAGCATACCTGGTCTCCAGCATGTCACTCCATAGCTACAGTTGAGTACTTATCCATGCAGAAAAGTTTAATTACTTGTACTGTGCAGCTTTAAGTAGTTAAAATTTTGGCTGTTTTCTTTCTCCACCCTGTCAGGACATTCTTGTTCTGGTATGAATTCTTGCTTTAATTTTACACACCCAGGTAACAGAAGCCAAGCAACTTTTTTAGCTTTTTTTTTCTCTGCTTAAACACAAGCAACAAATTAATGTATTGCCACCTGCAGCTAGTTACTGCTGCTGCCAAATCTGCTGTCCTTCTCCCAGTAATGAGCTGAAGGAAACATGGTGATTTAAGCTTAGATGAGGGTGGACAAGAAGTTGGTCAGCAGTGCATCCCTGTGACCGGGAAAGCCAAGTACATCCTGGTCTGGTTTAGCAGGAGTGTAGCGAGCAGATGGAGGGAAGAGTTTCATCCCCTCAGTTCACCACTTCTGAGACCACTTCTGGACTGCTGTATCCAGCTTTTGGCATTCCAGCATGAGAGAGACATTGACACACTGGAGCAAGTCCAGCAGAGGCCACAGAGGTTGTCTGGGGCTTTTTGTCTATGGGGTGTTTTGTTGGTAACACTCTGAAGTTATGCTTTAGCTTGTACTAATATTTTTGTGTGGATAAGTCACTAGCATCTCATCCTGCTATTTTGGTATATGAGAAAGTGCAATTTTGTGTTCTGAAACAGCTGGTATTACTAAAAATTATCTCTGGCCCTTTTGAGCCTCATTTGTGCAAGAGGAGCTTTGTTCAGCTTCAAAGACTGTATATTAAGGGAATGGCTGGTTTTGAGGGAGAGCTGTTACACTTACAATATAAAAGAAAGTGGCAGCATTTAATGTATGGTTTTAAAACCAGTGGTTCATTTACTGTTTCTTCACCCAATTTTAAAATCTATATATAGATAATCAAACTTAAAATGTAAAAGCTTGCTAGTATGTACTCAAAGCTGAAAGTAAAAAGCTAATAATATTGTTTACTTTTTTTGCTCTTGTTTTATTTTTAGGATTTCTTCTTTTATTCACTAGTATATGATCCTCAACAAAAGACCCTACTTGCTGATAAAGGAGAGATTCGAGTTGGAAACAGATACCAGGCAGATATAACAGACTTACTAAAAGAGGGTAATTTTCATAATTTATTTCAATTGTTGAATGTTGAATGTGGCCACTTCTATATATGCAGCCTGCAGAGGTGTGGGAGGTGGAGGTTTCCACAGCCAGGTCATGTGTACAGCGATGGCCTGGTTTGTTGGTGACTGAAGCTGTTGCCCACTAAGCACAACTAGTTATGTCTCAAACCGGTCTTTAAGTGGGCTTTTGGCCAAATCATAAAAATTGCTGAAACAAATTGAATTAATTTGCTCTCTCAGAGCTTGTACTCTTTTATTAAGAGCTTTCAGAATTTCCATGGGAAACGCAAATTTCCATTGCATCTATAAAGCCTTTTGTGTTTTTAATCAAGCCTCACTTCCCTGTAAGAGCCCCTCCCAAATTACTGCCAGTTAAATGCTGTCTCACCTCATCAATTTGCCCATTACTGCTGGGTGCCTTTTCTTCAGAGCCCTCTCTCTCCCCATCCCTAGGGTTGGCTGCCAGCCTAGACTTCTCACCTGCAGAACAGGCAGGAGGAAGAATTTGCTGGCCTGAATTTGTTCTGAGACCTTAGCCTGCTCCCACTGTGCCACTGAGCAGTAAGATCACGAGGACCCTGGCCCAAGGAAGAGGAAGTAGTAGTAGTAACTAATTACCAAGTAGTAACTAACTTTAGATTTGTCATTGTACTACCATACAGATCCAAAAGTGGGTGGAGAAACTGAGAGGGATGGGGAATATTGGTGTCTAATGGATCCTTTCTGAGACCCATGTAATGCATGGGGAAAGGTCTGTTGGGATGCTTTTCCTAAGAGAATAGGAGTTGTGGCCAATGTTGGAAAGACATTCTCCTGAGTGTATGGAAAGAGATGTGAAAGCAATGAGATGCTTCAGTCTTTGCTTAGGAGCTTTGCTGATACTGTTAGGCTCATGTTAGAACAGGCAAACAAATGGGTCAGGACTCTTGTTTAACTTGCCTGTGGAACTGGTATTTATTCAGCAGCTGGGCAAGCCTCCTAAGTGAGGATGACCTAACTTAAAAGGCATTCTCTTCCCTCAGCAGGGCAACACAGCCTTCAGAGAAAGATACTCTCCAGATGTTTTAAAGGGATCAGAAAAAAGAAAAGAAGTCTCAGTAGCTCCTGTATTTTTCCAGTATGTTTTGGTTTGTGCAGAGTCAGGAATATAAAAATGAAAGTTGATGCCATGATTTCCCCCTTAGCAACTGATGCAAGCTGAAAACCAGCTACTCTTTGCCTGCTCAGAGCAGCTGAGAGTGTGTCCTAGAGCTGCTGCAAGATACAGGAGAAAGAGTGGCTGAGCAGAGGGGCAGAAGAGAGACTGTCTAATCAGGAGAAGGATGTATTCTGTTTCCCATTACACACATCCTTTAAACCAGTGCTTGAAAATCTGATTGTCTGATGCAGATGAGGTGTGGTGGTGTGCCTGTCAAACTGAAGTTGTCATTGCAAATAAATGAATGAAATTTTTACAGTGGCTGGTTGAAGCAGAGTAACTGAAACGGGTCAGCAGTTAAATTACCGTGAGGAAAAAAAAAATCTAGAAAGTCCTTCTGTTTTAAAACAGCCATACCAAGCATTTCTGATTTGCTTTTCAACAGGTGAAGATGATGGAAGAGATCAGTCAAAACTTGAAACAAAAGTTTGGGAAGCCTTTAACCCGCTAGTAGACAAGCAGATAGACCAGTTTCTGGTGGTAGCACGGTAAGAGCATTTTACCTCTCCTTTCAATAAGTAAATGTTAATAACTCTTTCAAGCACTTTTTATGTTCCTTATGCTGGTTTCAATTGCTTTATTTACTTGATCCATTTTGAAATGATGGACATTTACATGCCTTCCTGGGAATTGCATGGCTACTCAAATTTACAACTTAATCACTTCCATAAAAGAATAGCACATGGCATGTAAAAACTCTCCTGTACTTGGTGAGGTTTTTCAAATACTTGAGCCAACATGCAGAAGGCTTAGTGAAATAGATTCTTGACAGTTTATTACTCTGTCCGTTTTCTCCCTTTTTCAAATCTAGTGACATTTTAACATGTGTTAATAGTTTGCTAAGAAGCCTGGTAAAGTGTTTTTGATGGAGCATGGATGCTTTCTAATGCTTAGATTCCAATAGGTAGGTACAGTAAAGTACAACCCTGCAAATCTCTACAGATGGTGAAATGTGTGCTTTCATTTAAGCCCAAAGCAATCTTTGTTGATCAGCTTTTCCTTTTAAAAATGTTCTTGAGCTTTTTCATTGCTATGCATTTATATGAACAGAAGCCAGTACTGAATTTTCAGCTCTTCTAAAAGTTGGTGACTGAATAATTTGGGGAGGGGAGGAAAAAAAAAAAAAAGGTAGCACTCTCCAAATTTTGTGTCTTGCAGCTAAGTTTGTAGGTCTGCATGGGAGGAAAGTGGTATGTGTAGATGGATAATTGGTCCTTTTTGCTGGTTCTAGTCAGTGGAGCAAGTTACTGGATATGGTTAGGAAAGGGATGTGTGAAGTTACAAGCTGCTAGAAGTATCTCGTTCGCTAGTCTTGATTGTTCTGCTCATTGGCTGTTCTCTCTGATAGATGAGGACTCTGACTTGCAGGGCTGCCTGCTTCAGCCAAGGGCTTTAGCCCTGGAAAACAGAGTTAAACCTGTATTTCAGATACTCTCTTAAATTGGGCCATAGTTCTGTCCACCTTTTGGTTCTTGTTTTTTCCCTTCTTGAGTTACCAGGCTTTTGAAATTTCTCCTGAACTTTCCCAAGTGTGGCATTGCTGTGCCTGGTGTGTGGGGTAAGTCGATGGGGTGCTCACTAGAGAGGCAGCAGTAGACCTTGTGTGTAACAGTCTGCCTTACAGAGCTCTCCAGTTCTGGCTGAAGCTGCTGGACAATGCAATGAGGGTATGTTTGTGTCAAATAGCAGTACATGTGTTCAACATGTTGAATGATACAAGCTCAGGGAAATGCTGAGAAAAACTAAAAAGGAATTGATGTAAATGAAGGAGCTGGTAAAATGCAGTGTTCTAAGAACTCAAGACGAAAAGTATGTGTATACTCAGAAATACACACCCACATCAATTCTTCTGTGTACTTTGAAGGTTAAACTTATCATTATGATGAACTTTGGCCAAAATTTGGAAAAAAAAAAAAAAAAAAGGTTAATCTGAGTTGCAGCACTTAAAAACCTTTGTGTGGCTGCTTGGGCCTTGTGTGTGAGTCCAGTAACAGGGAGCCAAGAATGAAACCAGGCTGGTTAAAATTAAAATTCAGCTACAGTCCACACTGAAGAAAATCTCACAGTTCAGAATCCATTAATACATTTTTGTCATTGGTTAAATATGGGCTTTTTGTTGTGTAGACTGTTTTAAGGTTCATAAAGTTTACAGTGTTCTGGCTAAACTAAGTAATCACCATAAAATTTAGGCTCTTGGAAGTTTTACTGTGCTGCTTACATGATATATTGCTGTTTCCCTTGACCTGTGCCAACAGTAAAGTCAAACTGGCTGAACTAAGTGATTTATCTGCAACAGATTAATTCTACTTGATCAGGTGGACATAGGGAAATGGATGAAAATGGCGGGAGGATCATCTCCATGAGCAGTGTGGAACAAACAGATGGAGGAATGATGGGGAGAGCTGGAATATCTCCAGCAAAGGGTATTCCTGCTTCTTAAGGGGCCCTTCTTGACAAGGCTGTGGCTTCCCAGTTGGCTTCTAATCAAGTGGAATACAGGACACCACCAAAATGCTAAGATCTTTGTTTTCTGGGTTAATTTGCAGCAGGACTGATTTAAATTGCCACTGAGCCACACAGTGCTCTGTTAGTGTGGGGAAGACCCAGCAGGAAGTGAGAGGGTAGAAGTACCCTGGTGGATGAGGGTTTTCAGGTGGATTGGTTTAGAGTGACTGTAGAGCTGCTTTGTGATGGGGGTTTCCACTGTGTGTAGGCTTCAGTGGTGAGGCTGCTTTTAGTGGTTCTTTCTCGCTGTTGACTGCTGCCCGCTGGGTTTGCTGATACAGCAGCTTGAAGATGCGTGCTATAATGAGGGTCACTAAGGAGATCAGTATAAAAATTGCTTCTACCCAGAATCAGCAAAGTGATCCAGTTTATAATAAGATGCCACTGACACACACAAAAAGTATCAGTTCAGCTAAAGCTGGGGGTAGGGACGTTGTGAAGCAGGATGGGGATAGTGACTGGGAGGCCGGGGAGAGGGCGAAGTGTGAATCTCCGCAGAAACCTGAGTGGGAGAGTCTGGTTTCTATTTTGGCCCAACTTAGATATTTGATGACAACTAGTGCTTAAGTATTTACCTTTCCTGCTCCTGTGTTGCTCAGCATTTGTTTGTTCCTCTGTGTGCTCAACTAGTTTGGGGAAGCGATAAAAGTGGAGAAGAAAACCCAACCCATCTGCTTTTTGTTGTAGTTGATCAGAGGAATTCAGCTCAAATTCACTGTGCAGGACCCATGTGGTGTAGCAAGCAGCAAAGAGAGTAGGAATTGCTGGAGCTGATTTTCCTGTTGAAGGTTTCTCCAACTTAATTTCTTTAGGAATAAAATGAAGAGCATGGGAATTGTGACCTCAGATGCAGGAATGGCTGGCACTGGGAAGTGTTTGAGAATTGCTGTATTCTTATGCCAGCTATATAATATATGTTATTCAATATTAAGTTGAAAAATAAAGATTTTATTTAATTATTTATGTTTAACTTTATGGAAACTTTTAGGAAAAAGCTTGTGTTACTGCATTTTTTCTGTCTGGTCTTGGCATTTGTCTCTGTACCTTTGGACAACGCAGCACTAGTCTTGCTTTTGTGCAAGAGACTTTGACATTCATAAAGCTTGCTTCTGCTGAGTTTCTGTTAAAGCTTAAGTCTGTTGAGAGATAAGGCATAAAAGAGTACTTCAAAACTCCCCATTTGTGATCCTTGAGTCTTTCACTGTTTCCTCGTCTAAGCCTAAACCTCTTTGGTCATACAGGCTGAGTGTTCGTAATAACAAACCACATCTGAAGAAAACAGTTGCTGGCTCAGAACTAGTGCCAAACCATGTAATCTTGTTAGTGAGAAATGGAATCTGCTGATGTCAAGAAGTGTTGGTTGGGTGTTTATATTTTTGCTTGTTTTGCATTAAAGTTAATGCTCCGTTTAATTTCTTTCAGGTCTGTTGGTACGTTTGCTCGAGCACTAGATTGCAGTAGTTCTGTCAGACAGCCAAGTTTGCACATGAGTGCTGCAGCAGCCTCTAGGGACATCACACTGGTAAGTTAGGGTTTTTTTAAGAGGACTGTTAAGTTTTTGAGAAATGCAAAATACTCACCTCAGCAATAACAGTTTGCAAAAAGAGGGGCAGATGAATTGTAATTGTGGCCTGCTGTGAAGCAGATCCTGTCTTTGTAAAGGAACCCTTTATTTACATATGAACTTTTTCTGGCCTCATGCCTCCTATGATCCATCATGGATAAGTCTATGAGCTATATTTTTGTTTTGTTTTATTAAAATGTTCTGATGACATGCTTCAGAGCCCATCTCTTGCATGGGCTTAATAGCTCTCCTGAGAAGCATGCAAATAAGTATCTGTCTGTCTGCAATGTTATAATGCCAGAAGCCACTCCTCATCACTTCCCTAACAACAGACTGTCACTGGCATCCTTGGGCAAGATTGTCTGGGGGAAGAGCTTGTGGTCAGATAAGAAATTTCAGTTGATCCAGTTCTTCTCTTCAACAAGCTCTATTTTAGAGTACGTGTGGAGTGGTGACATTGTTAATATTTTATAATCCTAAATTATTCTGAGTAGATACAGGAAAGGAAAAACTTGAACTTCTATGCTAGTTTAATGAAAATTTGAATAAAATTTATTAAGTCTCCAGAGAACTGTTATCAACGCCTCACCTCATAACTGGAATAATGTGAAATCATATATAGAATAAATTCTAGGATAGAGCACTGCAGATCAGTTATGCACATGCACAAAACTGATATGATGAAAGGCAAAAAACATCCTGATTAAAGCTGCAGAAATCAGGAAATAAAGCCAAAATTTCATTTACTAATACCAATTTCTCCCTCGCAACATGTTCTCAGCCCTTGTAAATCACAAGTTGCAGACAGTCATAGCTCAGCTTTCTGAGGAGTAATTGCTCCCTGGGAGCAATTCTTTTTTCCTACTCAGCTGTGATGTGCGACTTGACTTGAATCTTCTGGGGATTTCTGGCCATTGAGGGGACTTTATGCCTATGCTGTTGCCCTTAAATATTTTTCTTATATGCAGTTTTTGTGGATTATTTGACAATAATATGCCCTTGGACCTCTATCTTCATTTCACATGTGTGTGTAGTACCTAACAGGGCTGCTCAGTCCTGGGGTGAATGGGTCTCTATCCTGTATATTTTCTTAACTGTAGTGCTACAGTGGTGATGCTGGTGAGTAGTAGCTAAGTAGGAATTACTGATATGCCACAAACCCCACTGTTCTTAGTGAACATTAGACTTGTATGCTGACAATTACAGGGAGTCTGAGGTTGGAATAAGTTTTTACTGACTTTGTATTAGGTACAGAACAATGCACCCTCAAATCCTGGTGCAGAATTTTTGTTGTTGTTGTTTCACCATTGAGCATTTTTCCCCCTAGATGCTTGCCCTGACGTTTATCTTTCTCTTTTACAACTATGTAGTTCCATGCTATGGACACTTTGCACAAAAATGTCTATGACATTTCCAAGGCAATCTCTGCGCTTGTGCCACAAGGTGGGCCAGTCCTGTGCAGAGATGAGATGGAGGAGTGGTCTGCTTCAGAGGCAAACCTCTTTGAGGAAGCACTAGAAAAATATGGAAAAGATTTCACTGACATTCAGCAAGATTTTGTAAGTATATAAAATGAGGACCCATGTGGTGACCGGTTCTAATCAGTGACAGAGCTGGTTTACAGCTTGTCTAAATTGTGTTGGTTTTCTTCATGTTGAAGTAGAGGGCTTTGAACTGGAGCATGTGTCTTGCTGTATATTGGGGAAAGGCAGACCTCATACTGATGACAGCCTGTTATACAGTCAGAATTTCAAATCACGTATGATAGCTTTTCCTTTAGAGACATTAATTTAAAATCATCTGCTCCACTACAGCTGAGGGAGGATTTAGGAAAGTGTTGTGACAGCCTAGCTGCTGTAGATTAATTTGTGTTTGAAGGAGAATAAGTACTGGGCCTTCTGAAACATGAAAATTTAGTCACTTTTATAATGAGATTTCAGAAAGGGCCTTTTGGTAGTTTGAGAAGGAATCTTGGGCATCCAAGGGAAGTGTTCTGCAGTTTGGCCAAAGCTCTACCGTAGGTGCTCAGCCTGCAGATTGAATGGAGCACAGTAAGGAGAGCCAAGTTTCACTGTATTGCTGTTTGAGTCGTCTGGAACTAAAACTACTTGTTTAGTTTTAGTGTTTTAGTGTTTCTTGTCCCACACTCTAATCCTTTAGATAGAGGGACTT